TTATATTTAGCTTAAATACAATACCTCTCATATCAAATTCAGTGCACTCGTTATATAGCACCTAGGGAGAAATGTGGACCAATGTCATCCAAGTTTTGTTATGAACAGTCTTTACGATAAGTGTAATGTGGTCCCCCAGTTTAATTAAAATATCTCACATATTGAGAGAGTGAGAGAGCGATCGCAGCGACGGCTATTAGTATTTTAATTTGATATATGAGGACTTATGGAAGATATATTGGGTCTATCATTAATTTTCGGTAGTAGGTCAGGGTATGCTTATCGATATACTAGAACTTATTAATATTAAGATAAGTTTTATAATGGCCGAAATATACGCTATAAATGCAAACGAAAGGATGGGTGTGCGTTTATTCGGTAAAAGAGAACTTAGTGAAGACTTGACCCTTTTTATTTATTTTTGTACCAGTCCAGAATATATTCATGACAATATTATAGCCTTATTTAAATACGCTATATTACACATAAAAAGACCGATAAGTTGCTTTTACATGTCATTTTTGACGTCATTGACAAAAGAGCAGCGCAGTTAACGAGCAGAAAAATGACGAATCGAAGACAGCTATTACTATTTAAGGCATTTTAAGTTAAAGAGTTATATATATATATAAGCGAACCAAGCATTTCAGAATCCTAATTGTAAACTATAGTGACAGCATCAAGTGTTTTCATAGAGCTTGGCCGAAAAAGCTCAACTCACTTGCGTTTTGCTCACGTTGAGCGCAACTTTTGGCTGCACTGCGCCAGTAAACCTGATTAAAAGGTGCTAAATTAGCTTAGGTTGATGAAAACCAAATGAAATAAAATAAATTCTATGAACAAAATTAAATATTTCTCACATTTGTTCTTTAAAAATTGTCAATTTTAATTTAATTATTTTCTAGACGGCAGACAAATTGAATAAATAAGTAAAAGAAATGGAAAAAATTACAGCTATCAGATGAAGCAAGAATATGGTATATATGTGTATATATGCAGTAAATTTAACTTGCAGCATTTCTGTTTCACCCTTTTATCTATTAGCCCATCTAGCAATCATCCATTTCACCGCATATCAAGCCGATCTATAACTTTACATGGTCATATATGTATGTATGTATATACAACACACCATTCATATGCAAAATGTAAAAAGGATAACAATTTTTGAATGGCACATTGTGATGTCTTCATGTGTCAGGATATCCACAAAAGCTTATTTTTATACCGTTGGATGCACGGCATTTTTCCTTTTTGCCACATTAGAACTTCTAAATTCTACATTTCTGTCTTTTTTAGTTCAAGTATCCTCTTTGCCAACCGCATTGACAATGAACGCATTTAAGTTTTTTACTCTATTTGCCACACAGGTAAATGCGACAATCGAATTTGTGGCAAATGCCGCAGAGCGAGTGCGTGTGTGTTGCAGGCATACCTGTGTGGGTGTGTTTGAATACATGGCTGGTGGGGTAAGTGTGTGTGTGTATCACTGTCTTGCTTGACAAAAGCATTAGGTATGTGCAACAAAAATGTGTTGAAAAGAGTAACGGAAACGGAACTAGTGATTTCGTAGAGCATTTATGCGCCAGCATCCGGAGCTTTTGCCAACAACTCGTGCTTTAGCTAGCAAAAAGGACGCGCCAGCATAACGACGGCAACTTTCGCAAGCATACACACACACATGTGTGTGTGCTACGTGCAACATGCAACATTCGCTACAAATAAGAACGAAATTGTTATTCAAATGAGTGGCAATGTCTGTTTGTTTGCAGTTTTGCTTGCTTTTGCATATTTTCTCACGATTTTTCACATTTCCAACTCGCACCCACAACAAATAGAACTTTTATTTTTCGATTTTTTTCCCCCCTTTTTGTTGTTTTTTGGTAGCTTTCCTTATATTTGGTGCAATTGTTCAGCGCTGACAGGCAGGCAAGGGGATTAGCACTCTCTTTTTTTACTCTCTTTCTCTCCATCTCTTCCAATTTATATTCAAATTTTGGTTTGTCAGCTGAAAGCAGCATCGCAGCGACATTTCTCGACAAATTCCGGTATTTTTCCGAATTTTTAAGCAGACAAAAGTTAATTGGTGGTTTTGGTTTGCAACGGTGTGCCAGCACCTGGGGCAAGGTAACATATGTAAGCCTTAAATGATTTTGAAATTCTTGCAACAGCTGTCCAACCCATTATCGAGTACTATGCGGACCCTTGTGTTAGAAATCTCTGCGCCTTACTCACTACTTAACCTCAACAAATAACTGTCGGCCAATAAGCTGTCGTCGTCTCGCTTCGGACCCGCAAAGCGAGTGAGCTTACGTATGAATTTACTATTTGTAACCCTCCTTAAGCTAACTAGCAAATAATTTAGTTGGAGCTTTCAGTCGAAACATAACGGAAAAGTTCACTACAACAACAACACATATTCAGTTCGCATTACGAACCCAAACAGTTGGGTGAATCCTTTCTTTTGTTAGTTTGGTTAATTTGTACGTTTATGTTTGCTTTACCAACTTTCCTCAGTTTCAGCACTGCTCACTCTCTTCGCCCTTGATACGCTCGCTATGGTCTAATTATCCTTATTTATTTTTAAATACTAGTTACCACAGCAAATGCCAAACATTTCTAAATGTCAAAAGGAAGAAAAAATCAGACACTCTCGTCCTCTTTACTCCGCACTGCCAACCCGTTGCTCCGTGATTTGTTTTTCACTTTGGCATTCTTAGTATTTGGACCGTAAAAATGCGGTTAATGATACAGTTACAATTAAATGTAAAAATGCACATACATATGTGTCATGTCTATGCAATGTGTATGTATGTGAACACATGTAACTCTTTTCCTTCGTCGTCTGTTGTTGCCATGTGGCCATCGACTGTACTACACAGCTGTGCCCTCAAATTATATTCTAGCTGAACAATTAGTTGGCATTGAGCTGACAAAAAGTTAAGTTGCTCGGAAATAAGCTGATTTTAAAGCGGTTTAATTGAAGAGCGCAGGGTTCGTTGTATATAATTAGTAATATATACATAGGCGTATACATTAATACTATTAAAGATAGGAAACGCAATAGCCAATGAAATTTCTGGTAGCAAGGTGCTTTTAGCTAAAGCTCAATGTAATTCGATCGATATATGTATATCCATAACTAAGTGAAATATTCGACCTCATACTCCTTGTCTTGTTTTAAATGACCTCCGAACCCGAAAATTTCTTAATTTCTGGCATTGCCTTGGAGCAGCTTTAACACACCAAAAAGTTCAGGGTGCCAATTTAACCTAGCTTATATTAGTATTATAAGAAATTTATAGAGCTTTACAGTTATTGTCTACATGAGCACTAATACAAACAAAGTATTAAAATCACCCCAAAATCGAAATTTTTTATTAAAATTCAGAAGAATTTACGAAGTATCGTCAATATTAAAAAAAAAAAATGTTGGAAGGAAAACCTCCCTGGTATCAGCCAAAAACTGTGCTTAATATTCCAAAAAAATATACATTGTGTAAAATTTTTAAATAAAAATTTTTAAAAGTTTTCAAATTGAGAAATGTTGCCATACTATGTGTAATATATTTTTTAATGAAAAATAATTAATAATTTTAAATTATTAATTTTAAATGGCGCTAACAAAAACATAATTTTAGAAAATTTTATTTCAAATACATCACTTTACAGAGTTGCCCCTTAATAATAACTATTTTTAAACAGATGATAATTTAAAATACGGACACCTATTATACTTCGATTTTTATATTTGATTTATCTTAAATTTTAATATAAGTAAGAATGGGGTTGCCACCTTAATTAATTACTTAAATATATTATATATCAAAATTAAAATATTTGGCAACATTAAATAAAGCCTTATTCAAAAATTAAGGTAATAAAAACATTAACGAGGTTGCCACTAGGTTTTAAACAAAAAAAAGTAATTATTTAAAAATAAAATATATATGGAATTTATAAAGAATTTATATTATATTAATATTTTTATACTCTCGCAACATGTTAACAGAGTATAATATTTTTGTTCACTTATGTTGTTCTTTCCATCCAAGGGATGTCGGTGTTGTAGAGGGGTGTAATCGGACCGGTGCCACGCCCGCAAAACTTATAGCTAAACGTTTATTTAAGGTAGAAAATTGTAATTTGGCTAAACATTTTTAATAAGTGAAAATGGCCCCGCCCCCTAAAATGTTTAATGGATACATCTTCCAACCGCTAAAGCTATATCAACGAAACTAGCTGCGAATATGCTATTTTAGCATATTTTCAAACTCTATAAAAATAGTTAAAACCAGATAATAATCACGCCCACTCAACATATAACAGTTTTGTTGAAAAATACGATGAATCATTGAACAAGCAAACAATATAGTATATAGGGCAACCACGCTCTTTCCATCTGATTCCCTCACTTTACAGCAAACAAATCAAACATCGCTGAAGTTATCAGAATAAAACTCCACAAATAGAGCGCTTAAGTCATTTAATCTTACGCTCAAACATTTTCGGATCATAAATTTTCAAGCACCTAGATACCAAATATTATATGTGGATAGTGCATATGGCTGATTTTTTACCGAACGTATCAGTCAATCTGTGAGGTGTAGTATTGACATTCGGGGAGAATTTTTGTGAAAACAGTATCTGGTGCTTATGTCAAAAATGTGTTAAATCGGGTCAATACTGCACTTAACCCATATACCTAATATTTATTTTATGTATGTATATTCTCGAACTTCCAGTTGACTTTATACCGCATCAATCGGTCAATATATAAGAAATCGTATTGAAAGCCAAAAAGAAACTTTTACTAGTAACGGTGTATCTTTTTGCCTAAAATGCATGAAATCAGTTCAATACTTCCCAAAGGTCAATATAAAGTTTTGCCAAAATTTGAAGGTATTACCCCGGCTTTGATTCTTCTAAGTTGCGAGAGTATAAAAGGTCGGTTACAACCGAAATTAGCCCTTCCTTACTTGAATAAAAATTAGTTTGAATTGAATTTTACAATGGCTTGTATTTCTTTATTTGCGTGAAAATTAGCTACAAATTTGTCATACCCAGATAAAATGTTACACTTCGAAAGCAGCCCGCTGACAGTTTTAACCATCAAAAGCCAAACTAAAAACAGAAAAACGCGCGAGTTTTCCACAAATTATTATTAATTGGCATTTTATACCTAATTTGCAAGCTTTTCTTCACAAACCACCAACAAACGCACACATATATATTTACAGCAGTTGCATGATGAACGAGAAAAATGTTGCTCATACGCCCCCGCAATAGTGAGCGCAACAAATTACTTTGCCATAACCAACAAGAGCAGTGATGCGGAAAAACTGTAAAGTTCAAAACAAATTTGTCACGCAAAAGTAATTAATTAAATTTAATTGTTATGCAAACTATGCTTACTTTGTTGCTCGGTATTTGGCGTTTGGTAGCGTTTTTTTACCTCATCTTTTTGCTCATTGCCGCAAAGTGGCTACTTCTCACTGCTCTCGCTCGCCTGCTACCCAGCAGCGCCTGATAATTGCTGGCGGGACAGAAGCGTACAATGCCATAAACAGATGTGCAAATAGCCAACTAAGAATGATGCAACAATAGCGCGGCAATAATAACAAAAACGTGAGAACAAAATAAACAAACAAAGGCGGCAAGAAACATGCAAGCAAGACTTTTTCAGGGAACAAAAGATATAATAGCAAGCAGAAATAGAAAATTCGTTGCATTGCCACCACATTGAGCCCGTGTCAAAAGCAAATATTGCTCCGTATATGTTGTAGCGTTGTGTGGCAAGCAATTGCTGGAAAATAAGTGGAACAATAATAATAGCAGCAGCGAGTGAATGAGTGTGTGAAAGTGACTGCCACCACGAAACTGAAATGTAAAAGTATTTATTTGCCACATTGCAACAGACACCAGTACGTTTTTGTGGCAACTATGTGCAAGTGGAGAAGGAACAATTAAAATAGAGATACATATTTTGTGAAGGAACCGCCAAGAAAACTAAACCAGCACACAGCGCCAGCTCGCTAGTGCAACAGACTCATTTTTAAGGCATCTCGAAAATATTCTCCATTCCTTGGTTATTTAAAGCGACATGGCACAGTTACACATTTCAGCGTCAGCCATGCAATCAACGAGCTGCCGGCCAACTAAAGAGTCAACATGGCGCACTCAACAAGACTTGACAGCAGATCCTTAAAAAAAATGACAGTTAACTTTTGCGCTGTTGAAATGAATTGAAAGTGTTGCTTTTTCTATGTCTTGCAAAGTGACTGAAGTGGCTTGCTGGTAGGTCGCTACTGACGGTGACGTCATCAAAGTGGTCTCAGGCACTTATGTGTCATCCCCGATGTCATCCGAGGTGGTTACGATTTTAAAAAATTTTATTAATAATAATATTCATTATTAAATATTTGCAAGAAAATGAAAAACGTTTGTTCGGGGCTTTTAGCTTGAGTCTAATTGCTCAGCGAACAATTCTGACCAAATTAGTTTCATTCTCAAGAAAAAAAGCAAGTTGTTGAGAAAATCCACAAATATGGAATTTACAGCTTTTTAATACACGTAAAATCATCACTTCATTTCTATATACCGAAAAATGTTTTATTCTGCTGTGCTAAAAAAGTGAGTTAGCTGTAAAATATACCTCGAACTCATTCTAGTAAAGAAAAGATATACGTAGAGGGCTCTTAGGTAACCCTGCAGAGATGAAAATTACCACAAGTCCGTGGGGACTTTTGACCACACTAGTTCTCCACACAATAACTTACCATTTTTCATTGGTTGCTGAATTAGTTTTTACATACATATATTCGGCATACATATAAAATAATTTTATTTCTCTTTCTTTCAATCGTTCTCCTTATATTCCTCTCTTTCCTTCAATCGCTCTGTCTGAATCCCTGCCTCTCAACTGATCTCCTTAAAATTTTGTCTTTTTCCTTCTCTCACTTTTTTTTAATCGATATCTCTATATTTATGTCTCTCCCTCTCTTTCTTATTCAATCTTTCTATATCTCTCCCTTTACATCACATCTCTGCCCTTGAAAAAAAAATTCATTATAGGGCTAATCGTTTCTCGGTAAGCCTTATTTTGAGCTTATTACCGCCAAAAAAACAGCATAAGACAACGTCACTGGACTCGGATGAAAGAGGAGACCTTTTATATGGTATATGCGTGCAGAAACAGATTTCTTCCATTCACAGAACCGAAGGTACATAAACTAAAAGTTATACTGATACATACATTAAATTTTTCGAGTTTTAAATCATCTACTTCTAAAAAAGAAGAAAGGACCTAAGTAAACATTTTTTAGAAATCGAATCATAGAAAAACACATAATAATTTTTTAAATTATTATTTTGCACATTTTACGGTTGTGGGATTATAAGAAAATAACACCCTATGTTTTGGGCCTGTCAGCTGACGATGTGGTGCCTACTAGTAAGACTGCGTTCAGACGAAGATCCTTTTTGATACTCAATATTTGAAAATTTTCTTTTGGTGTCGTTCATTGCATTCACACCAGTGACACTAGTGCGACAACTTCAGTCTGACAATTTTCTGAATTTTCTTTTATATCACATTTTCAAAATCATGTACGCTTCATGTCAGCGTTATATAAGAATATTTTTAATTAGCTAATTTATACTCCTAGCACGACTATGAGGAGCATGGTCCCGTTGTCCTCCATTGCCGTCCCATCGTCTACAAAAACCGGTTTGAGCGACAAAAAAGTTCTCGTCTGAACATACCTTTTATGTAATATTTAGAGCTTTTCGCGAAAGATCATTATGCCAGGTTTCCACCGACACTTAATTACGAGATTTAGGCTGTTGAGTAGATTATCTCACTAATCAATTAGATTTAGCAAGATTTTGAAGTTCTTCAAATGCCTATCGAAATAATTATTCTTATCGAAACTGAAAATTGCATTACCAACTGCATATACGAGTATTATCTAAGAATTCTTTTTATCATTACTAAAAAGCCTGTGTAAATAACACAGAATTTAATTAGAGTCAAGAGTTTACCAACTTTCTATCTGCTTGATTATTTTGAAATTAAATATTAGCTTCTCCAAACTAAGTCAACATGCACCTGCATTCTAAATAAGTTTTCGTACACTTGCAAAATTAATTTCCCTGCACTTTCAGCACCAACAACGCCGCCGCCACCAAGATGAAAACCACAGTCCCAGTGATCCTATCATCGAGGCATTAGAGCATGAGGAGTGCGCCTTTAATGCCGTGAAATACAAAAATTAACAAATTAGCAAGTTATTGATGCAGAAAAATACTTTGGTGAATCTTTAATTAAGTGCATCCGCACTTCAGCCACACCGTCCCGTCCCTTCGCTGGCTGTGCCTTGCACAACCGCACGAAACCACTTCAACCGCTATTTAACTTAAAAGCTAAGCGATCATTTTACTTATGCAGTTTTTTGGCTTTGCTTTCGTTTTGCATTCGCTTCATCTATGTTGGTTTTTTTCATTTTAGTGCGCACTTAGTTTCGTGAAAATTGCAACATTTTGTTTTAATTTTAACTTTTTCCTATTATCCCTAAGTACTCGCGCTCGTTTTGGTAAGCATTTTGATGAAATAGATGGTTGCTTCATCATTACCATCATTGCGATGAACCAAGCCACAGAAATATTACATGTAAAAATGTGCAGGGATAAATGGAAATTTTAAGGAGAGAGGAGAGTAATGAAGTGAGGAAACGGGATAATGAGGTGAGTAGGGAGAGAATAATCTTGCATTTGCATTGTGGTATAATGTTTGTGTGTAAGTTTTAATTTCTGGCTTCTTTCTAGACTCTTTCGTGGGTAATTAACTGATTCGAAACTTTTCATTTCTTAATGTTGCTTTATATTACCCAGCGCATTACTAAGCCACTTGGGTAGTAGGCGATAGTTCTACAGAAATATGTTTTAGTACACTTCAGGATCTTATGATTCCGAAAGCTTAAGAACGTACTCAGATAATATATATGTCTATGGGTTTTAAGTCTCCTCCGAAGTGCTACGGAGATCCTCTTTGAATCACAAATATACTCGAAGGTTTCACAATGTCCATTGCAAAGCAGTTTATTTAATGTAGTACTTAACAAGGGGTCTAAACGTAAAAATTAGATTGATGAACACAACCTCTGCGTATATATTGTTCAAAAGAGGCCCGACCATGCAGGTATGGATAGAAATAGCAGCACGAGAAAAGAAACTGATAAATTTTCCAGCCTTCAAATTAGGTCCTTTACCTTGGTTATAGGACGCAATAGACCTATAAGGAGACTCCTTATTAATTTATATCTGAGTTTCACACAGAGCTTTTTATTTTTGAACCAACTCAGATAGAATCCCAGTATGTTAAGGTTCACATATTGAACTGGTAGGTGGCGCTACAATCTGAAACTATAAGAAATCTGAATTAGCGGACCGAACCATCCAGCTTTTACCAAAAACCGCTGTTATTCTCCGAATTAATACAGCTGTAGAAGTACGAAAATGAGCGGAACTCGAGTAATAATTAGAAGAAGCCTTTAGAAAAAAACTAACATTGTGTTATATAAATCGTTATAAGAGGATTAGAGATCGATAAAGAGACGGCGGTCGAGTCTGCTCGCTTAAATTACATTTTTTATCTCCGGAGTTCACGGATCACTGGAATAAAACAGTTACTTAATCTCACTGAACAATTTAAACTCCGAAAGTGGACTATTTTATTTTCGATCCATAAATTATTGGTTACAAACAGTTTTGCCAATCAAGTCTTTTTTTCTCTTCTAGCTTGGTTCTAATTTTTTTTTTACATTATATAAATTATTTCTAGACAATCTGGGAATAATAAGATTGGTTTATACAGAATTTTAGGAAATTACAATCTACTGATTCCTGTTATTTTAAGTAAAAAATAACAATAAAAACATTTTTCTGGGATAACAAGCGTTGGGTAGAAATTGCTAACCACCACTCGCAATTATACCCCTTCAA